CTCTTTCACCCTGTCGCTCCTCTAAACACGATCGGCGGCGCGTTATTCACCGGTACGCGTTCATGAACAAAGCAGTTGAGCCATAGTTGGCGACGAGTACAAAGTTCTGCATGATATAATTTATTTAAAACGTCCTCAAAATCGATTTCCCGAGCAACGATCTCTCTCTCACTCTCTTTCTTGAATTATTATGACGTGCGAGATTATCTAGTCGCCACATGCTAACAATCACGGTTAATACCTAGAGCCAGTACGCGAACTCTAATGACTTTGATTGTAAAAAATGTTATATATAGGATAGATGTACGTCAGGATGTCAGAATGCGTCAGAAACTTCATTCACGAATTCTTCGACCGAAACGAAATCGACGTGCTTCTTCGGTTATAAAGACATTTAACATTGAAAGATAAGATGTCTAAATATAGACAATGACATCTAACTACATTTTTGTTGAGTAAAAATCGATTGGAAATCTACCAAGAAATCTATGCATTGAAGAATAATGCATGAAAAGAGAAAAACGGAGCGTCCTGGAGGCCGTTTCACGCAGTGCCATTTTTTCACCTGCATGTCGATTTGGATCTTGTCGCAATGCTGTCGAAACGTGCCAAATTTCGAAGTGCTGCAAGACGCGAATTAATAGTTCGCACTAAATCACGATGAGCGATGACGTAATAGTTTCGAAGGAACGACAAAGTTTCGTCCGGTGATTAACAGAGGGAAAAATCGCAAGTGTTCTTCGTCACGATCTCTACACGTGCATGATCCGATCCATGAAACTTCTACACATATATTATTTTAATTATCGCACACGGTAATACCGGCGTTTTACTAACGCGATACGTACCACGTTAACCGCGATAACGATATCTAATGCGATATTACCGCAACGTGTTTGCAGGAATCAAATGATTCCCATTCTCGTTGAAAGCTTACAAGAAACGTGAATATTATTTATGTTGATTATAGTCTTTTCATACATGCTTTCGGGGTATTTCCGTATATCTTAATAATTGACGGTACGAATAATAAAAATGATCTGAAGGCATTGCTAAAAATATACTCGACTTAAGACTGCGAAAATTGAATTTTTCATGAAGTGAAGCAACAGATAAAAATATCATTTAAATTTCCTAGACTTATATAAATTGCAAAGACTCAAGACAAACTTAACTCTCTAGAAACAAGCGAAACTTTAAGGGAATAATCGATAAAGACATCCTGCTGCGTTAATTAATATCGTATCGTTACTTTACGCTGATTAAAAGAATTAATCAGAGTTATGTGTATGTTAAAATAAAATAAAAAATAGAAATGTATGAATTAATTTTTGTTAATCTGCTGTAGCTAAAGCCGATATACAGCACTGTATTTTATTAATTTTTATAATATTTATATGGATTTGAATAAAATCAAATACTCTTAATGGATATATTTTTAGAGCTTAATAAATATAATCTTCCTATATAACTCATATTATAGTTTTACAATTCCCGATACAACGTAAACCGCATTAAAAATAACAGAAATTTATTCTATTTACGACTCGTAAATAGAATAGCATTACAAAACCGCATACAGAGTGTATTTATATCTTTCTATCGATAGTCTCGGAAAGCTTTTCTGCACAGAAAGAACAGTTTTGCTAAAATATCTAGAAATTTAGCTGAATACAGATCTGAAAAGAATTTTGTTTAAATCGTCAAAATAATTATGTAGAAGTAAACCAAGTTGTTAGAATGTTAAAACTTTTTGCAGGCATTGTCATCTAAGAGTTCTAGTTTTTTATAATTATTAATGATGCAACAAAATTATTTCCTATATCTAACTAAATTTTTAGATATTTCAACAAAATCGTCATGTAATAAAAAGGATAAGAAACAGATATCCTTTATCTTATCTAAGAGAATCAGGGTACTGTCTTGAAAGAAAAGGGTAACGCACAAAAAAATCAAAGGAAAATGGAAGTATAAAACGGAACACTTACGACATTATTCGCCACGATCGTCGGATTTGGATGTATTTGCAGACCGTAGTCATCGCCAATCTGCTCGCCGATCTGCTCGCGGCTGGTGGCGGGGCCCATTTCAGCGCCTCCCGGACGAGGGACGGGGCCCGACTTCCGTCGAAACCGAGGCACCTAACCGACCGATCGACCGATTCCTCAAGTCGGCGCAGCCCTCTCACCGATGGCTTATAACGCCCCCATCGGCGTTAGCCGGGCAGGAACCCTAAGGAAGTCGGCTTCCTCGGTCACGTCTACGTCCATTTGCCTCGCAAGAAACGATCGAGAGAATCGATCGTGCGAAGACGATCGAAACGTGCGAAACACGCACTTGTCCCTCTTCTTTCTCTTGCACCCTTCGAGAGATTGTCGTCCACCGGCGTTTGAGAGCTTAACGCTTGCAAATCCGGCGGCGACGAGTCTTAAGCGATCCTGCGCTTCTCATTATCATCGTGATAATTCGAAGTACTTACGGACGAGCACTTTTCTGTCACTATTTGTACAGCAACGTTTGAGGATGGTCTCTGGAGTGACATCGAGTCAGGCCGACGTCGTCGATATCTCGACTGACCTGCGCTGGCTTCGACAATAGTGTAAAACATATGACCACCAATCGTCTTCCTATAATCTTCGGAATTTTCAAAATTCCTTTTGAAACAATGAGAATAGCTTGTTATCGCAGCACAGATTCTTTGTAAATTCTTTGTGGATTTAGAAAGTTACTAAAAGCTCTTCTGTCACGTTACAGCACCCTACCGGCGTGGATATTTCACGAGAAAAACTTTGCCGATAAGTCTTGGGTCACTGGTTCACCGGTGTGTCCGCCTCCCACGACGATCGATCGCGCCCGTTTTTCTGAGCGCTACCAAGAAGCGTTGGTACCGACGTCTCGACGAGGACGACGACCACGACTTGTCGCACACACCCACCGGCCGGCTCCGGGTTGCACCGCGAGGAGAAAAAGAACTCACGAGGCGCGATTACGCGCGCGAGGCGGAAAGGTCGGGCGATATGGGGGAGAAGTCGGGATTTTGGACTACGCGGAGGTAAAAAAAAAGGAAGGCCGAAAAGAGAGGTCCCCCACGCCGGGCAGAAGAAATTTCCTCTCGCCAGCAGGCTCTACCCCGCCGCGAGTGGGTAGCGCCGCGGCGCCCCAGGATCAATAAAACGACCGCCCGGCCGTCGCCTGTCCTAGGTCCTGCTTGGCCTCTACCTGCCGTATGGCTTTTGAGCACCGCGCGCACGCCCGCTCGCGTGCGAAACTCGCCTCGCCGATCGATATTTTACGACGGTGGTCAGGAACGTCCACGGAGAAAATCCGCGAAAAGTGCATTATTCGTGGAACTCGGTAGCTTTCCTAGGAAATTCAGGGACAGTCGTAAGAGATTGTATTATGCGACAAAAAAAAAACACGTATTTTTTCAATTTAAGATTCAACGAAGAAGAAGAACTTTCAATTTTAATTCTCTAATTATATATGTGTTATTTTGAGTAAAATACATTGTTCGTTTTGTCCATATTATATTCATGAAAAGAATAATTTTACTTGTAAGAATTAGGCTATCCATTTTTTTACTGCAAATTTTTTGCTTTATATTCCATTCCTACAAACAGAGTTTGAAGTATCTCGAAGTATTTTTAGAGAGAGTTATATATTATTTAAATTAAGAATATTTAAATTAAGATAATTGTACACGATCGAACATCTATGGACGCACATGGAAACTTTTATTTGGAGCGGTCGGTCATTACCTCGATATATCTGCTGGGTCAGTGCAACTGACGTACGTGTTTCGCTTCCTTTTATGAATAATTTGTTACAAAGAGCAGGTTTTAAAAGAGCATTTTTTAAATGTATTAACTCTGTCAGATTAATAAATATGAATTACGGCGTTGGAATTGTAAGCACTAGGAGCAATACTTAAACTGCATTTTCTATTACTGTCATGGAAAATTTAATTATTCAAAAAGACTTTGATTCGCTTCATGCATTATTATGCATTGTTACCGTATAATTTACTACGCCTTTGCTGTATAATATGTTTATTAATATTGCTGTTGTTACGTAACTCGTATAAAATATTGACTTTTTTTATCGTAATGCATTACATCTTGTACGATCACTTTCATTTTGTTTCTGCTCTTTGCAGATCGATATCGTCGACCACCCTCGCAGTAGCCACGAACATACGCTCTAAGGATAGTCTGCAGTCTGGCCATAGTCTATTATTGTAATGATAGGAAAGGGAACTCGCTTAAAAGTTCACCGTTTCAGTCTAATGCATAACATACATAACATATATAATTTGTAGATTATTTATAAAAGCAAAAATCAAACAAAATTTAACAAGTCAATACACATCCAATACATTAAAAATATCGCAATTATAAAACTATTTGTAGCATCGCAATCTATATAATTATCGCAATTATATCAATATATTTTAAATGTGGTGTTAAACGTTTTGTAAAATATAAGAAATTGGTTTTATTAATCGTTTATTTGTTAAAACTTTAAATAGCTATATTTTATATATGATATAACTTGCGGATTATTTATAAGAACAAAAATTGAAATCAAACAAAACTAATGTCTTAATATATCGTGCATATACATTAAAAATATCGTAAGAATAAAAATATTTTTCACATTGCAACTTATATAAATGTTATTGTCAATATATTTTAAACGTGTAATTAATGAAGTATTAATTTTTTTATTATAAAATAAAATTGATTTCAAAAATAGTTGTCTTGTTAAAACAAAATTATTTTTTTAAATAATCTGAAATTAATTGCAGTTTAATCGTCTCCTGCGAAAAAATTTATACAGATATTAAATATTTATTATTTATACATACTTTTATACGAATCACAGAAGACATGACGCATCTACACAGAACACGTTCGGTTTTTTAATAATCACTTTGTAATTTTTTTACTATGCCGCAAATGTTCGATGATTTGTTTCGCTGCATTGCTTATGTCGCTCCGTTTCGCGGACGAATTCATAATCTCGAGTCTTTCGATTGGAATTAACGTAGTCAAGTCATGAATATATTTTGGTTCCTCGAGATTGTAAGTGACGGATTGTAGAACGCGAAGACAGAGCAACTGCATTTCTTCCGAAGACGCCTCATCATCCAAACAATGACTTAGCGTGTCTCCAACTCGTGATTCGAGTAGATATTGTAAGCCAGTCTTGTTCATGCTTACATTATACAGGATCATTAATATTAATCTGCAATTGTGATCTTGAGATGTCGAAGTTTTGTTTTCTCCAATAAAATGTGGAAATATTGGTGTAAAATATATGGAAATTGGGAAGAAAGATAAGATAGCTGGAAACAGCTTTAGAAGTATGCAACAAAGTAATTCTTTAAAATATGAGAATACCTTTTCAAAGATACCGTTCCAGGTGCCGACGGTAATTCGGGCGTTAGTTTAATTAACTTTTGCACGAATTCCGTACCGTTGGAATTTGTAATTAAAAATTCACGACCTTCCGGGCTTGCGGATATATTGGTAACGATACCGAGGAGTCCCATTACAAATTGGTACTCAACATTGCTCGTAGGAGGGAATGCGCTTCTGTAAGTATTAACAAATGCACCGAAAGTCCCGTTCACTATCGACAAGAATTCTTCTATTTTACCCTGAAACTGCGACAAATTAATTAAATTAATTAGGACTAATTTAATTTATAGATAATGAAATTGATATATTTAAATTTCAAACTTCTTTAAATGTATTCTAACAATTCTATAAATGTAACTAAGTTAATTCTATATATAAATGAACTTTATATTATATTAAAAAATGTTATTTATAGAACTAATTTTGTTATATTTATAGAACAGTTAGAATATATTTAAAAAAGTATAATTATATTTTAAAAACTTATTTTTACACATTTAATTATATATCTACTTATATATTTAGTTACACATCCATATACAATTTTTTCGTAATTTAGAAAGACCTGCAATGTTATATATCTTCAAGATTTTTATCCTCTATCTTCCATTACGTATTTCTAGTGCAATAAAATTTCAGCTATGCCATTTTACTTAATATTATCAACGTATACTTACGTTCGATAACCAAGTGTCGACTATTTGCGGAAATCTAGAAGCACGCCATGTCAAGTTACCTAATACTGCACCAAGGCTTGTGCAATAAGTACTCTGACTTAATATCTGCATAATATACCAAAGACACAAACAAGTTAACAAATGGTATTTTTAAAAATCAATTATGAAGATATCCTATTTAGCGTTTCCAAAATGGTAACAGGCAAAAATACTGTTGATATTTACAACAGGATACATAAGCACAAGAAAACATGACGTACAATATAATGAAGGTATTCTATTTGCAGCGTTTCCAAAACAATAACAAGCAAAAAACCGAGAAAAAATGTTTCATATAATTTAACATTAAATATAATGTATTAATATTTTAAATATAATTAGTTATAATTAGTTATATATATTTAATATAATTAATAAAATATGTATATTTTATATATAACATTTATTCCCGGGAATACTGTTGGTATCTACAATAGGATACATAAGCGCAAGAAAACACGTACACAATAATGAACACTGATAATAATAAAATTAATGGAAACGTGAGATAACCAGCATCTGCCGGTATCGAAATAAAGCTTTACTTGATCTTTCAGACGTTCTATTTCCTCGAATGCTCCTTCTTTATCTTTTGTTAGACGTTCAATTTGAGTATCCAGTTCTTCGCACTTTGATTTCAACGCTACAATTTCGTTCGTATTATCTAAAAATAAATCAAGATATATGATGAACGATATTTAGTCTTAATCACACGCAAAAATATAACAATAAGATATGAATTTTATGAGTTACAAGCTGAAGCATCGCTAACGTGCTGTATCAATCTTCAACTGTAATATTTACTTTAGTATTTTACATTTTTGCGAAATATGATATTAAATTGAAATCTCTTTTTGCAAGAATACAACCTTTTGACGCATTAACGGACGACGTTGAGAATTTATTGAAAAGCGCATGTGTCTTTTCTCCATTTGTTTCTTCTTTATGCGATACAGCTTTGAGATTGTCAGTCGCAAAAATCTGTGGAATGTCGTCTATCAATTCGTGCAGATTACACTCGGTGGAGTTAAAAATTGTCTCCAAGGAATTCTGAAAGTTTCGAAAAAAAATTTTAAATCACAAACGGAAATTAATATGTATAACAATAAGCGCTACACAATAAACTATGCAAATAAAATACGCACTAGGAGTTCGTGTTCATTTTCTAAATTAAATTCGTCCATATATGCGTTTTCGCGTTATCGAAGAATAACAACAATCTCACAATTGTTATATGCAAATATTTTTCAGATTATTCGCAGAATTCTGCTGCAATATGACAAACATGTAATGTCACGATTTTAATTTTTGTCTCTGTAACCTAATTAAATTCGCGATTAATAACATTACAATTTTACATTATTCATTATTTTTGCGTACGATGTGCTATAAGAATTTGAAAATGTGAAATTGTATTAACGGCATAAATATTTATGCATAAATATTGGGATTTATGAAAATTATACGGATATAATTGAGCGACGTACGCCGCTAGAATGGCTTCATTCGAAACAATTAATTAATCCTCAGAATTTTTCTCATCAAGAGATAATTTCACAGAAATGACATCTGGTTTTTAATATAAATCTGGGAAAATTATATCTTCAGCAGCGCGCTTCGACTTTAATTACATTTGATTAACTTATGGAAGAAATTGTACTGAACCGCAATTATACTGAAATTATACGTGCGTAATCTCATCAAAAAGAAGCACGAATTATGTTATCTCGAGATATACTTCGAATACAATACGAGGTATTCCTCTGAAAATAGCATAGCTATTTTCTTTTCTTTTTAAATGCTATCATAGTTATGCTCTTTTAAATGCTATCTTTCATCATAATAACATTTTTAAAAAAAGAAAATTGATTTATTTTTAGTTTTCGTTAATGCTTGTTTTTTTTTAAATCCGTTTTAAGTGATGTACTAATCATATCAGAATTCAAGATGGAATTCTATTTATAATTTTAGGCTCGTACAATATAAATAAACATTTAAAAATAAAAATAAATTATTAATATCATTTAAAAAAATAAATAAAAAATAATAAAAATTTTAAAGATTAATTATTTTAAAGATAACTTTCGTATTTAATTTGTAATTAAATTAATTACTTTAAATTATTTTAATTTTCGCGCATTATATTTAAAAATTTTCTTTTTATAATTTTACATGCTGTATATTTTAATTATTTAATTATTATTATACTATATTTTAGTTTGTGCGTGTATTCCTATTTTTTAAATATTTTTTTATATTGTACGGCGCGCTTAAAATTATAAATAGAATTCCATCCTGAGTTTTAATACGAATTAATATATCACTCTAAATGTGGACTAATATAAGCATTAACGAAACATAAAAATATATAAATCCATTTTTTTTTAAATATCAATTTTTTTACTCTTTATCATTAATAATAAATTGATAACGCTTTTTAGGCTGGTGCCTTTGAAATCATGCACGCTGTGCAAGAGACCGTGCAAAATCACCGGCGACATTCCGCCGTGGTGTGGCTTCCGTTCGCCGCGATAAGATAGGAACTTCGTACTCCCTGGAGTCTTCGAACCGGACGTGCGCGAATAACGTCGCGCAAATTGTGAACGCGCCATACTGACGTAACGGCTGCGCGGTCGATTTCCCGCGTGGCTTAACTCGAATGGGTTTCGGAACGCGCGGCGTGCGTGCCTGCATGCCCCCTACCGCGTCCCGCGCTCGCGCGTCCCTCCCCCATCTATCTTACGATGCGCCAGAGCGGTATCAAGAGTAACATTTCGCGACTTGTGGAAGTTTTATTATTTTTCACGGCGTCTCGGATATCTGCCAAGTGAAACCCATCGTTGGAGATCGCACGGCACAGTAAGTAGCGTGTTTCGCGAGCCACTCATCGCGATCCCGAACTGATCCTGGAGACGCATTCCGATCGAGAATCTGCTTTGAGAACGCGCACCGACACTTTCCCGCGTATCGCCTCCGATCCTAAGATCGTTTACATTTACGTAGCCTTCGAACGGGCGGTTACGAAACTTACGCGGCACCCGCGCTTTTCGATCGAAGGAATTCCTACGTTGCTTAGTTATCCATCGAGGCTCTTGTGTACGTGAAACCTCTCGTTGTGAAACGATAATCGATCGTTTTTAAGCTATATTGCATTAAATCTAACTTATATGTAAGTCCAGTCGATCTAATTATCTTGCCAGTCTTGCTTTCCTAATTATCCCGTATGTTATATGTATATATGCACACACCCATATATGCACATATGCATGTTGCATACAATGTATATATAGCATATATACACATATGAAACATTAGCTAAAAAAGCTTTAATTATTTAAACCAAGTTGATTAATTAATAAATAATTATAATCAAGTTTTGAATTAAACTTTCAAATATATATGTAGGTCTCACATATAAATCTCACAATGAAGTTTTCGGAGGGTGAAGAAGTTCTTGCCAAGCATCCGAATACCTCTGAATATTATAAAGGAAGGATTCTCAACGTCAGAGGTGATCGATATAAGATACACTTTGAAACAGGCATTGAGCATACAGTTAGAGAAAATGACATAAAGGTAATTTGTTGATTGATGAAGGAACCTTGCTAACAATTATACATTATTCTCTAAATTTTTTAGAGTAGAATCTGACTCAAAGAGTGAAAATTGAGCTAATCTTGAAAAAGAGTGGCTTAATTTTTAATCTTTAACAATGAGATTTCATTTTTCAGAGTAACATTTATTCTAAAAGTTTTAGAGAATAAGGAACATATAAAATAAATTTAAGGCTAAGTTTTATCCTATATATATTATATATATAATTTTTTATCCTCAAAGGCTGAGAGACTAGGGAGAACCTCGACCAGAACAAGCAGGAGAACAAAAAGTCCTACAAGACATTCTCCTAGTAGGAAGTCACCAAGTAGGCGATCGCCTGGAAGACAGTCGGGTAGATCCCCTGCGAGATCACCATCATTTACGTCTAGGAAATTACCTATTCGTAGCACACGTCTTGCTAAGATATCTCTGTCTCGCATAGATGTCGAAGGCAGTAAGTACCTTTATGTGGTATGTAATATTTGCCGCTTATATTCTAATACTCATGCAATTTCATTCCCATTCATGAATAGATAAAACGAGCAATCATAAAGGAAGCGACGTAAAGTCACCGGATGAGAGTCCAACTGATTCGTTGCCTCTACAGCAACGCTTGAGGGAAGCTATGACTATAACGCATAGACCATCGCTTCTGAAGACTGAGCAGGAATATAAATCGATTATAATGAGAAGTATTGATAGAGCCGCCTCGCTTCCAGTGGAAAGGAAAAGTTATGTACAAGATTATCCTCTGGGAGAAAAAGAAAGAGGATACTCAATGCAAAGAGATCAAGTACATTTTAATAATTTATTGTTAATATTCTATTCTGCCTATTCCCTTTAAGCTTTACAATAGAACAGTATGTATCATATCGATAATTGTTTCAGGATATAACGAAACCTTTGTATGAAAGCGAAAAATGGGAAACGGTGGTGAAACGTGAGAAAGAAATAAATAGAGTTGATAAACCGCAAGAATGGGGTGGATGGATTGGGACATTTTTCCTCACATTTATATTACCGATGTCCGTAATCTTACCACAACTCTTATGCTCGGAAGGACAATGCAAATATGCACTTATAAAATTTTCTGCTGATGTGAAGTCTTATATAAATTTATATACATTGCTGTCTTACATTGCATTTTTAACATTATTGGCTTGTATTTCGATTATACCGATTGGGAAAATTATAGAGGGGCAGCAGAGTAAAATTGGAAGACTCCAATATCGCATAAATGGTACATTTTAATATAGTGTAATTTTTAATTACATTATTATTTTTATGTTTTTTTTTATTTTTCAGGCTTTTTGAGCGCTATAGTGGCTATAATAGGACTTGGTTTATGTGTATACATGAATATACCGGTCAGTGAATACATTCTGAATAATATTGTGCAATTGTCTGTCAGTGGGTGGATTGTGGGAACGATTTTAGCTTTGGGATTGTATATTAAGGCAGGAAAAGCTCCAGTAATCAATCTAAATTTATACGCATCAACCAACAGCAAGATATATAATTTTTGGCAGGGCAGAGAAATTAATCCACGATTTGGCACTTTGGACATCAAACTGCTGTTAATACGAGCTTCTCTCATTGGCACGGTAATTATTATTTTATGGTTTTATTTTCGCATGGATTATGTAATATAAAATAATAATTAAGTTGAATATAATTACAATTATATTTTCTATTTTGTAGTTGATTGTGAACATAGCCATTGCGCTTAAAGCTGTTGGCAATATAAAGAGTCCAAATATTGAGAAACTTGATGTAGCTACATTATTAGCTGTCTTGTTGCAGCTATTTTATATTGTACATGGATTAATATACGAAGCTACTATCTTTACGTCCTTTACAATAATGTACGAGGGAACTGGATACATGACATGTGTTAGTCATTTGTTGTACCCATTCTTGACGACTCTCACTGCAAGATTTATATTATATCAGAAGTAAGTTTAATAAATAAAAACATGTATTAATACCTTATTAAAATAATATTTTAATGTTTTCTATTTAATGCACTTTCAGAATAAAACTTAACTACTTTGTTGGCTTATCTATTTTGAGCTTTATGATGGGATATGCTTTGTATAAGTGTAGTAATTTGCGGAAAGATGAGTTCAGGAAGAATCCAATTTCGCCAACAGTACCTTGTAAGCGTAAAAACGAAAAATAATGATTCCTTTTTTGTCAAAATAAACTCATTCTTAAAATTTACAGATTTAGAAACCATCCCGACATCACGTGGAAAAAAGTTAATGTTGTCCGGTTTATGGGGTCATGTGAGACATCCCAATTATTTGGGTGATATTATAATACAATGGTCTATCGCGAGTATTGGCTTGGCAAATGACATTCTACCATACTATACCGCGATCTGTTGCACGTTAGTACTCGCTTACAGAGCCGTGAGAGACAATAAACGTTGTCAGATGCGCTATGGATATGCATGGGAGCAGTATTGTTCGCGTGTGAAGTACATGATTTTGAAACGTATATTTTAAGACAACAGAACGCATAGCGTGGTATTTTTTAAATACCAAATTCTATATCAGTTATCACAGAAGATAACGCTCATTATATTTTATAAGATCTCTAATTTTGTGCATTTTACGATATTTTTATGAGATGATGTAGTGATATAGTATTATAAAGTATACAAATATAGAATCGGATAAGAGCCAAAAATATTTTGATAATATTGACAGATATCACATTAGAGAGAGATAGATATATATATATATATTTAAGTTTATAATATGAATCTCCATATATGTGATGAGAAGCGAACATTATGATACTTTGATGATATTTTGATAAAGAGAAGAAAACTTATGTATTTGTAGGATAAGTATATGCATAGTATACTTGTTAAGACATGTGCCTGTAATATCGAGCATTATAAACTTAAAAATACAAATTAAGAAATTTTATACTTTTATAAATTAAAAGGGCATAAGTGTACAATCATATGATTATTATAGAGACTATGATAAGCGATTTTTTTTTAATAAAATATTCTCGTCTATTTTCTTGTGTTTATCTTGTAATTCTAACGTAGCTATTTCCAACATAGACTTAGTCATATTTTTGGAGTCTCTAATAATTCACATATAGTCATATTTTTGGATTAAGAGTCTATAATAGGAGCCATATACGAAATAATATTACAGGATTGCTCTAAATTTCTTAATTAAATTATATATAACAAGTTACTGTTACGAGAAAGCCACAAAGCAAATAAGAAGTGGTCGTAAGTAAAAAAAAATGTTACTGTAACTTAAACGGGATTAAAAGTATTAGATGGATTGTTAATAATATAAAAATATGTAGTATATTTGTACACTTATTTTTTATTAAACTGCTCGTATATATACACGTACATCTAATTATTATAAAAACAATTCGTTAAATTGAATTGTTAAAAATATGTCCATTTGTCTGTAATATAATTGGCAAACGGAAGTTTAGATATTCTTACGTTTTGTAAATCAATAAGTGTCTTAGCCAATCGTTAATAGAGAATATCCTCTGTTTTACATATTCTTCTGTCTAACAAATATTATTTACTTCTAAAGAATAAAGATTTTTCGAAATTGCGTGTGTCTCACTGTAAAATAAAAACAAATTTCCGTATATCTATAAATCTTCATGGTAGACATGTGTTTAATTGCCCAGATTATTATACATATTTATTCATCTATTTTATGTAGCTATATTTATTTCTTAAAATTATATATTTAGAAATTGTCATTAAGCCACAAATGTACTCTCTACATGACATTTTATTGCAATTTTGTTGTTTTTAAGAAAAATATCTTTCATATTTGTACGTAACGATATCTGATATAATCCATATCTACAAATTGTATGAATGAAAAATGACAATTAAGAAAATAACTTATGTGTAGAAAGAATTATGTTTATTGCCAATCCATTCATTATATTTTCAATGTGTTTCTACAAATTATTTATTATGCTGATATCTAATTCTCTCTTTTTTATTTTATCAGTCGCTTTTTTGAACTTATCACTTGATCCGTTATTTACGCACTTTTGACATCTTCCTTAAATCTACTTTGTAGAGTTGAGGGCCAGAGAATCATTTTGCATAAAAACGAGCCTTTGCTGTCATGAAAGTGAACCAATATTACAAATATAAATATAATATATATTCGATTTTATATTATATTTTAAAAAAACTTTATCATTACAAAAATGATATTTGATCATGTTAAGAATACATTCTTTTTGCTGATATATTTGATTAGTCAATAATTTTCGGTCAATTTGAAAAATAGTTTTTTCCTTTTCTGAGAAACTTAATCTTTTGAGTTATGTCACTTTTAAAGCAAGAGAGCGATATATATAAAATTTTGAGTTTACATACCTTAACTCTCTCTTTATTAAACATTATTATTAAATCTAACATCTGGAAGACTGGGAAAGAAGATTGAAATGTATTCTTTTTTATTTAATTAAGAAAAAATTAACAAAGGTATTTTAGGTATTATTTTGTTAAATCATTAAGTAATATATAATTTTTTGACATATAATGAACAATTTTTTTAATATATAAAAACATTTCAGAAATAAAATATACAACTTAGATCACTTTTATCATCACGGAGTGATACACAAGTATTTTATTCCGACACATTTTGTTTCTCAATATCACACCGCAAATTTTGTCGTTTGCCTATTGACCCTTCTTGTACGAACATGACAAAGTTATCATGCTTCATTAGGAACATATTGTCGCTCGTCTGTATTGCTTATATATCGTTATATATGTATATATTATATACTTTCTAATTAACGAAAATCTCGTAAATCTCTGTTGGCACACACGAGTCCTCCGTTCTATTTTTATCGATAAATGTTTCGTGGCAGTACTTTCGATTCAGTACTTTCATCACCTGCTAGTATTCGGTGGACCTTCATCCCCGTGAAAAATATTGCACATAGTTCGATGGTCATGCTAAAGAAGATTTGAAAGGATCCTCCCGAATCGATTGGTCCTTTTTAGGCGTATACGAGGCCGAGCAGGATTCAGTTTTTAATATCCGTTCGCCGCTCAGAAAAAGTAGAAGATCCAGTACACGGCATTAAACAGCATGAAGCTGACTGGGAAGATGATCCGCGAGTACTTGTCTATCACGTTCACATCCTTGATCTTCGGCATTGATACACGTAACACGGAAGCTCCTCTACGTAGAGCGTGTAACATCTATAAGATTCAATTGCAATTTTAAACTTAAATATATTTAAATTAGATTTAAACTTCAGAAGCGATTTATAAAAGGAATAACTCCTATCATTTTTTCATTTTGTGCGGTTTTACATTTTTTATTTAAATATCTTTACAAAAAAATATAAAATGCAAAGGTGCAGCGAAAATAGTTCCTTAAGTATTTTCTGTACAGTTGCGTTTGTCTAGGACATGCCCTCGAATACCTTTGGCTTGTGCGGTCTCGGACCTCTGTACCTAAGACCGCTATTTCGACTGTGCGTGTTGTAAGCGGCAGTCCTGGACATACGAAAACTCGGCGGAAACTTGGCCGGGTCATGGTCCCTTCCAGCTCCCAATGTCGATGAAGCACTGACTATGCCTGACCTATTTCTAATGCTCGGCAGAGGTGACATTCTGAGGTCCTGAAGTTCTATAATATCCGCATCCGTGGAGCCAGGAAAAGGCGAACTGGCTTTGCTCCCTAAAACAAAATTGGATTGATCGAATAAGCAAAAAATAATATAAATTTTAAGAAATTTTGATTATAGTATTAAAGGATGCTCGGTTAAATAAAATTATTAAACGTATACTTATACTATATTCATTTAAATTGCTTTGATAGCATCGTTATGATTGCATGTTATATATGCACTTATCTATGCTGCGTGACTCTTTTGGATCGATTGCCTCTTATTCACCGACATTTTAAATTGTCTTTCTATTTCATAATAATTTTTTTTGAAGGACGTTGTCTTCGAAAAAATGTTTGAAATAACTGTGTATTGTTAACCGTTAAATATAGTTAATTCTCGCTTATATAGTTACTTGTAGATAAAATTATATGCAGTAGAGGTAGATGCCAAAGCGAGAGACAATTCATCTACGATTTTGATTTATATCAAAATATAATATTTATATAAAAACTTATTTAAGAAGAAATATTGAGACGGAAGAAATATTGAGGCGGTCTATTATATTCGTGCTATTCGGAAATCTTATTTAACATGAGCTTTGTAATCGCCACAAAATTATTAATCTGATATTTCGACTCGATACGTTTACCTGTCTTAGAAGATAGTATTTTCTTTTCGTCGGTTTCTTTCTTCTTGGTCTTCTTCTTCGCTCTGGCGCCCCAATACGTGTAATTGACCGCCGCGTATTCCAGCAAGGCCGCGAACACGAAAACGAAGCACATCACCAGGTAGATGTCAATGGCTTTCACGTAACTGATCCGTGGCAGTGAGCTTCTAACACCTGTCGATATGGTTGTCATCGTCAGTACGGTCGTGATGCCTAAAAAAAAAGAATGATATATTAAAGAATGATATATTATATCATATCCTATATTTGCCTATAATGAGAAAAAATTTTTTCTTAACGACAATTTATTGAAAGATAAAAATCGGAAAGCTAAAAATTTATTATTAGGAGAGGAGAAATAAGTTATTTACTAATTTTTAACGTAATTTTAAACAATTTGACGGCACTATTTTTAAGACGTACCGAGAGCTACTCTCGCACTGGTAGCTTCATAATTAATCCAGAAACTGACCCAGCTAAGCATCACGATTAGTATACTCGGCAGGTATGTTTGAAAAACAAAATATCCGATGTTTCTCTGAAGTTTGAAGCTTAACGAGAGCCTCTGATAGATGCCTGTCGCCAGCTTCTCCTTTCGATCGTTGGTTTTATAGCCGAGAATCGTAAATTGTGGCAATTCCGCCTCCTTGACCCCATGAACAGGAGTTTCTTTCCAGTACATTAGTACATCGAGCACCGTGTATCCATCTGAGCATTCCAGAACAGCGTAACTCAGAATAATCTACAGTTCATTAAAACTCACCATTCTTTCATTTATTCATATGAATGCATGCAAAACTGAATATTCTTTCATTGATTCAAATAATTGTATTTTACATATATCCGAGATAATATTATTCCAATTAATAACATTTGCAATATTTCAAAAATATAAATCAACAAAAAATTTAATTTAAAAAGAAGATAGAAAATATATACTCTAAAAATTAGCTTTTTATAATATTTACATATTTTTAAAATCTAAAGAAAGTAAGTGCGTCGTGGTTTTTTATCTTTTTATATAAAGATATTTACGAGAAGAGAATATTGATAGATAATATATATTCGAATGATTGTGAATACATGTTCCAATACGTACAGCTTTCGATTTCAACTGTACAATTTTGTGAATCGAGGGGATAGTAATGCAAGTCCATCATGCAGGCCAGGGTCGTTGTGAATCTCATGCCGTATGTGATCGAGCCGTCACCAGATAATCTAATGAGTTTGTTGCGCTCAGTGACGTCGTGCAGAAAGCTGCAATAAATTCGGCAAAATGATCAGTTAAGGCAAAACTGAGGAGATAAAGGATTAAAAAGAAAGATACTTTTAAATAAAATCTTTAAAAATAAAATATTACAAATTTTCAAAGGTTTTGAAACATCATATAATTTGTCATCATAATTACCTATTTTTATCATTGGCAAAAAACGTGTCCGGGACCCAAATCTTTTCCGCGAAATCGCCACTTAACGTCAAGACTTCACCCTCGTGCGAAAAGGCGAGTCTCTCGTCCTTCCAATATTGATTTAAGTACATCGTTATCGTATAATCCTGGGATGCGAGTAATGATTAACATTGCTGATAGAACTTGTTATTACAATTAATTAAAACAAATTATATGAAAAAATAATCTTTATTTTAGACCGCGTAAGAACACAATCAATTAGTACCTAAGTAGCCTAAACGGTCGAAGCTAGATCTTTAATGCTTGCATATATAGTATATATTTTTAGTCTTTTTCAAACTGCGCGCTGAATTTTTTCCGGACTATAAACGCAATTAAACTACCGTAGTAATCTCGCGAATTAAATTAATTTCGAACAATTTCGATGCTCAATTAGACATCATATTCTAAAGATGTTAATATGTTGGAAAAAACTGTAATTAAATTTATTGCGAAAAATATTACCTCGGCCGGGAGTCGAGTAAATTATATTGTATAATTTTTATTGATGTAAATTATATGAAACATATTTACATAATATCTATTCGTTGTTTCCAGGGAGAGAGTAAGAAGGATATAAGAATAACAATAAAAGGATGCTCGAAAATACATTTCAACAGAACAGCGTTATCATGGATGAGAAAGAAAGAAACTTTGTTGGCGGTTATCCAAGCCCTGGGAATACGAATCCATTTATAAATCGCGACGGGGATATGAATGTCGGTGAGAAAACGAATTTTGTATTCTGACTTGAACATATGATATGATATTCCAATACAAACGTCTCCAATGCAGCACAAATATATCGATTTACATATATGTATCCATATATTACGAAATTAGAATGAATCGTATAGTAATATAAATGAAAGATATAGGATAATAATTTAAAATACTGTTTTAAAAACTTGATGAAATATTAACTTCATGTGTGGTTAGAAAATTAAATTTAATTAATTGTATTAAAGTTATCAGACAAGTGGATTAAAAATTATTGCCACAGGAAATATTCTTTCTCTTTCTTTCTCTTTCTTTTTCTCTCTCTTTCTCTCTTTTTACTTATAAAAATATTTTTTTTAATTTTATTTACTCACCATATTGACTTCTGAAATCGCATCGAAACTCGCAATGGTGAGATCCATCCCAACTCGTAATGGATCGCCTTTAAAAAATAATCTGTATCTTAATTTTGTAAATACGTTAAATAATTCAAAAAAGTGCGTAATCTCTAATATCTCTAATTTTTTTGCGATATGTATGTGAAACAATCAGGAAAAGAAATATAGCTTAAAATCTTCGTCTAATCCGTTGATAATATCGGAAAATTACTTCTCCTCATTGCACGTTCGATTAAAACTGCTGATTGCGATCATGCCTTGTTGAACGGCATGGAAAACTTCATTAAAAGCTTTCCATATTGCCCTGCTTCCGAGCTCTATTCTGAAATTTAATTCTATCAAATATGGCTCGAAATCCGAATATTAGCAATAGCTTTATTTGTCAAATCTATTTCAATAGGTTTTTCTTACGATTAGTGTTGCATTTTTAAGTTGCATGTTTTTTATTAATATTTTTATAAATACATAGAAATGTATAATATATATACACAGCTGTTACATATATAATATATAAATATATGGGTCATTCCACGTCAACTCGGCCATCCCCCTGTCCAAAACTATATACGCAACCAAATGTAACGTATAGGGTATCAAAATTTAGGTTGAAGCTTCTAGTTTTCGATGCCATGTGACGATTTTGAAAAATATCAAGGTCATTATTTGATATTTTTCAAAATCGTCAAATTTTCGTACCCTATAAGTTACATTTGGTTGTGTACAGTTTTGGGCAAGGGAGTGGCCGGGTTAACGTGGAATGACCCATATGTATATTATATATGTATATACTCATATGTACATTTATTATAATTGTATTATTAACAATATTCATTAATATATAATTATTATAATTTATTAGTCATATATATGTATATAATACATATTATTATATTATACATATATTATATGTATAATATATATATATAATTTATTTTATTTACTATACATATAAATGTTATTTAAAATAGTCTTAATTATGTGTCTAAAAATGCAATATTAGATAATCATATCGTTCATTTTTTATTATTTATTACTCTGGATGTTTTTTTTTTAATATACTGGCTACAATTACACTGTGCGCTTAGTTCTGCTTAGTCCGTGACCTAAACAGGCCCACAAAACGATTTTTGTTAAAATTAAATAATGTATATCATAAACATCATTATGTATGTGAACTTGTAAAAAAGCTTAATTTTGGGATAATTTTAACAAAATGTACAAAGATCGATCCAGAGCTTACCGCCAAAGTTCGGCCTTAATCGAATATCATAGCCGTCGAGTATCCTTGAAATTGTCTGCGTAACGTTCTCCAATCTATCGGACATCTCGGCGCTCTCTAAAGAAGCCCTGTGAAATACGAAATTTTGAAAACTATCGATAGAGCTTAAAACCGTTAAAATATCTTTATTAACGAGTACCTCGTTAAATTTATCAAACGAATATTACAATGACTATAAAATAGTTTCGGAAGTATCTTATAAATGGAATTTAATATTACATATATCTTCCAATATATTCATTAACGTATTATAAATTAATATAATAATTATATATTTATTATATTATATAAATAATATGAATGTATATAATTATTCATATATATTTATTTTATGAATATACATGAATAATAATTATTATTATTATATTAAGGCAAGATTTAGGCCTGTATTTAGAACTATATATACTAAATGTGCACTTATAACGATATTAGCGCATATTTAGCATATAATTCACATTGCATGTACTATAGAATTTCAGAAATTTGTCGATAAATGCGCGTTCCGAAAATTTGCCTTATAGTTCCATTAGATTTCAATTTTTTAAACAAAAGTTTCACTTTTTGAAGTATGCTCCGAACATTTACATCTTCGACATTCATTTATTTTAAACATGATCTAATGGTGAACAAAATCCAAGACGTATATACGTACATTTATTCCTGATCTAAAGATGAATCATTTATCCAAGGTTGGTCTAATACTTTATATATATTAGCAAATTATATTTTTATATAAATAAACTGCAAATAAATATCGTATGTGTAGATATACATGTGATACAATGGCGCAAGAAATACGCACAATCAAGAAATAAAATATCTAAATTAATACGCATAAACGTCGAAGAAATCTATAGATAAAATGGAAATAATAGAACGGCTGAAGAAATTACTTCCATTGACCAATTCGGGCACTGTCGATCTGATGTGGTCCATAGCGATCATTGTACTCGCGATCATAATATTTTTCACTTTGAGGAAAAATTAATAAGTTTGGAGAAGATTGCTTCTATTTTGTATGCAGCGTTGTTCGGAAAAAATTATCAAGTTCGTCTTTTGCCCGGAAAATGAAGCTTTGTTGTTTCTCCTCGTATACAGCGGACTGATTGGAGTGCTAATTGCTCGAACAATCGCATATGTCGCACGTCAAGCTTAATTCAAGTATTTAACTATTTTCCTTTGAATCTCTATTTCTTTTTATATCTATTTGATTTATTTTTCTATGTACATACATATATTTTCTTTACTACATTTATACATGTGTTTAATCTTAATTGAGAATCGTGATATTTTAATATGATTTATTATTAAGATATTTAAATTGCATTTTAAATTTTACAATACTCTGTAAATTATTGAACGATTTTAAGAACAGTTTAAAACAAACGAGTTGGAAATTAATTTTTTCAACCAGTGTAATATCTATAATGGTTTCAGCTCTGCCATACTGATTAAACTACGCTCTTTTCAATAATAAAACATAGAACTTCTAACTGGAATTTCATTAAAATACATTACAGTGCTTTAGTTATATGAAGATTTGCGAAAGAGAAAAAGATTACATCTTTTTAATAATATATATTTTAAAAATTAGGTTTATATGAATATATTATCACATAATATGGAAATTTTATGTTTATCATTGTATTCTTTAATTTAAGGACATAAATTTATGCCGCATTTATGAAAAAGTTTTTCCTATCATATCTACCGAAATCAAAATCGTATCCCTTAACGTGTCACGTGTGCATTACAAATGGAACACGATGCGAAAGCATCAAGTCTTGTTATTCTCTGCGATTTTCCATAGGGCGAAGATTCAAATGATGGTGCTCACCAGATGACACGATGACGCAGCTGCACGAAGAACAGGACGATCAGCGGCAGCCCACGCGGCAGCATCCTGCCAATCATCTTCGTTATCCGGTCGGGATCGCGTCAGTGAACGACGAGCGCGATGGAGAACGTCATCTCGCGGTATCCTCGCATTCCCTCAGCATCCCCGTAACCGGCTCGCTGCCGCTGCCGCCGCCACCGTTCTACAATCATAGTCGAAGGGAAGAACACCCGTCAACCTTTTTCGCACGCTTCCTGCCTGCTCGTCACTATCTTTGATCCTATATATGTATATATATATATACAGCTTTTATGCGTACTCCTACTGGAACCTGGTTACCTGTGGTAACAGTTTCCGCGTCTACAATAAGTTTTTTTATCTTCTTGGGAGGAAGAACTAATTCAGCAATTAATAAAGAGGAAAACCAGGAAGGCTAATCCTACTAACTAACCCTAAAAATTCTATCCCTAATAACACAGATCTCCAAAGGATGTTCTAAAGAAAATTCAGAGGATATCCCTATGTCCTAAGAACGTTCGCCAGAACGTCCCGCAAATAAATTGTACTATTAGGGATATAGTGTATTTGATACTCAGAGAAAACTTAATTAACTTCCATTTCAGTTTAAAAAAATATATATATATATGGATTGAATTTGAGAGAGAGATTCTTATTTTTTTATCAATAAGACAAAAACAGATAATTGGTCCGAAACATTACACTGCACTGACTTGCATTTTGTCATAACGAGATGATGTATTATCGTTCTCTGCAGAAAAAGTAATAAAAATTATTGCGCCTTTAACTCTAGTATTTTATTGCTAATTATTTACGTTAATGTTTTAATCGCTAATTTTATCGTGTGATATCATTAATCGAAAGAATTATGAAGCGCTTCTATTTGTGTCCTCAGGCCATTTCAGGCAATCAAAATCACGTTTTTTTCCTGAAATTTTTGACTACAGTAAATTAAAACTGAATGTAATTCCGTTATCATGCTCGATTGATCCGATTAAAGAGTAAAGCATAACGAAATGTGGACTAATACGATAAAGCATTATACATACAATATATTAAAATAAGAACGAAATAAAATAGCGTACAACATGCTCTACATATCCCCTGTGTGCTTCAATCTCGCGCTTTATTCACTTCCTATTCAAAGATTGCGCACGTACGAAGCCACACTTTCGCCTCTATGACATTCGCGTTAAACAATAAAAAGAGCGCGTATAATATATCCGACAATATTACGTACTTTTGATATAGCTGTTTTCCGAGACAATAAAGATGAAGAATAACTTGTTAGTCACGAAACTCTATACTATCCGTAAATAATGAAGGAACGATTTTTTTTCCATCCTAAGGATGGAGTTTGACTTTATTAAGTCTCGAGTTTTAAATTGACGACAGGAAATATTTCATAAATGTGATACCCATGCAAGTATTTGAAAACATTTTTAATATCACGTAAAATATTATTTTCCTTGTAGTTACTTTATTAATTAATAGTTTATTAAATCTATTTTATTAAAATTATACTATATATAAAAATTAAACAAACAATAGAATCGTACAAATAGTATTGAGTCGCGAATCAATATGAATGAAATACATAATACATACTGGAGTTTAATTGTCCGTAAATGTCAACAGATTGGCAGGAAATTCAATTAGAAATTGCTAGCAAATTGGCATGAACTACGTTCGTATTAAAATCGTGTTTTGCTGAAAGAGCTTGGTGATATAACATGACAGCAAATTGGCGGCAGAAACCGAGCAAAATCTGTCGAACGCAGATTCTGCTCTATTTCTGCTGCCGATCTATGTCAAACTATATAGCAAATATATCGAAGTCTACTTGATTTTAATCCTCATGTCTTGACAAACTTTGTTATATTTTTGCCAGCATTCTAGCAAGAGTAAGTATTGAATATCTTATGTCGGATACTGTATCAAATCCGTAGACTTTCTGTCAACAAAATTTGTAGTAAACACTTTACAGAATCTATTCCCAATAGACTGTCTAGGTTTTCACTTAATCGATATCAATTTTTTAATTTAATTAAAAATTTATGTAACAATCTTTATATATAAGTTTTTTCAGAGAAACAATGATTTGCTACAACATTTGCCAAGTGAAATTGGAATTGTAAATAATTTCCTGCATACCAAACAGGTTCATTCAAGTTCATGGTTGAATATATTTCTGTAGATGTATATTAATTCTCTATAATTTGATAAGTATACTTCTTTTGCTAAACTTATAGATTTATATTACATGCACAGGTAATTACCTGCTGCATCCGAGGAGAATCACGACACGCGCGATGATTTCATCATCGATCCAATAGAGAAATACCAGAATTATTAAACCGATTATCGCATCGTTGACTGGAGTTATCGCTCGCACGTACTTCGGTCCATCGTCGTAGCTTCAAATCGATCGAAGCGCAAGATCGCGAAATCTCCCGAGACTCGATCGATCGTTATCGTTTACAGAATCCACTATTCACAGGATTTATCCGGCTTATCACCTCTCGCTCTATACGATCGAACTCGCGGATCACTCAAACTCGCTGTCATGAACGTGTCATCGATCGTCGCGCAGCATCACTTCACGTCGATGTCCATGTCCTCGTTCTCGTCCACGTCGTCGAATAGAAATGTAAGCGCGAGGTATTCCTGTGCACCACGAGCTTCGCGGATGCTGCTGCCTTTCATCCTCGGTAGCTAACGCGGATCCACTGTCGATTACTCTCTTCAGACCCCCTCTCCCCCCTCTCTCTCTCTCTCTCTTTCTCGCCCCTCTTTCACTTCCTCATCGTAAATGCGTCCTCTCTTTCTTTCTATCTCTCTCTTTCTCTCTCTTGTTCCCTTCGGAAATCATCCCCTTCACTCCTGTCAACGCGTGGTCTCTTCTCTATCTCTCTATCACAATTCAACCCCCTTTTCTCTCGCTCTCGCAAATTCTCCCTCTCCTATGCTCTCGTTTTCACGGGTCCTCCATCCCCCTTGCTTATTTCCTTTTTCACGTGCGATTGCCCCGTTCTATCCCCGTTTATCCCTCTGCCCGTTTCCTCGTATCCGGTATCACTCTTTCTCTCTCCTTCCTCTCTCCTTCTCTCTCTTCTCTTGCTCTCTCGGATCGCCTTGATACTACTCTCTTCCGCTCCTCGAAATCTCTCTTCGTCTTTCGTCACCGTCCCACAGATTTCCCCCGCGACTTGCAATATGACTTGCGCAGGACGCACTGTATACGATATGTACTCTATCTTCGTGTGTCGACCTAGCGACATACAGCCGATGATCGGATTTCCAAAGCGAGTCGATCAAAAATTTCCTCTGTCACCATCATCATCATCATCACTATCACGATCATCGCCATCGTCCCCACCATCTCCACTCTTTTACGCCAGAAAAAGTCATTAATTTTCTAGAATAATAACGCTATGAAAACGCCGGAGATCGATGCTTATCTTGCGATATGCAGCAAGAATCGATCGGCTTTTCCTGATATATCGTTGCATGAAGACTTTGCGTAAAAATAATAAAACTAGACGGAAAAGGCGACACTTCTTGAAGTACTAATTATGTATTTTTGTCAATTCATATCAACCAATCCATTTTTTTATATGTTACTTTGATAATAGAAATAATTTAATATTTGAAAAGGAGTTTGAGAGGATGCACAAATATTCGTGAATCTCTTCGAGATGTGCTCCACGCCTTAATGAGTTCAAGGTTTTTAAATGCGACCATCTTAAAAATAAGAGTAAAAGGCACGAGCGCGGAGATAAGATCAAATTAATGGTCCCTCGACTAAGCATTAATGAAGATTCACTTCCGCGTCATATTACACGTTATCGCAACAAAGATATCAGATAAGTAAACTATCATAATTTGAAGCACTTTGCAGTAATATACAGAATAATTTGCGAGCATCGTTAAAAACAAATTCTTTATTAAAATCTTAAACGAAAATTCTTATCGCAGAAATTTATTATATATTTATGTCGTAGCATTGCAATTCTCGATAAACGCCTTTACTTAATTTTCTTGGAATTAGATGAAGAACGAAAGCAGCCAATATAATAGATAACTTTTATCAATTTTTTATCGCTGTAAATGAATCCGTAAATGAAATTGTTCTATTATGTCACGCTTTTGAGATACTTTAGCTCAAAGGTACCCAAAAATGCCAATTTTCGGTACTTTTAGATTCAATTTTCTCAAAAACATGACGTGATAGAACAATTATATTTACGGATTCATTTTTAGTTATAAAAAAGCTGTAAGAATCGTTTTATTCCGTTCGTGATCTAAAATGTATTACATTGGACAGTGTAATTTTATGCGCTAATTGTAAAACCTAGTAAAATGGCCTCTTGATAGCGCAATAGCAGTTAGATTTACAATCGATGAACAGTCTCCGTCGGCAGGATGGGTTCACTTACCTTGCAGAGACGATAAGAATTTTCCTGTCGGCAACGCCATCGCTGATCGGAAATCATTTCAACACCCGGCGTTTTGGAAGACGCGTTTCGATCAGTTTTGACATGTCCACGAAGAAACGCAAGTAAGAAATCACAGCACAGTATCTTCGCAGGGGTCGTTTCCAAATCAAGGGACCACTTCTCCCAAACTCGATTTCTATAAAACTTTCTTATTTATAAGAAGACGTCTGTTTATTATTTTAATTAATCGTCAAAAAAGATGAGGAAATTATTTTTGAGAATTAAGTTGCAGTAGATATTATTTTATATTAATTACATTTTTAAGAGTGAATTACGAATAATTAGAATTATAAATTAAATAATTAAAAATTAAATATTAAATTTTCTTAACATAATAATTTGTTTTTAGGATCCGTGTTCTATTTGAATCAGCTTGTTGGCAAAACCATTTAACCCTTCTATCAATGCATAATTTTTCACCTTTTCACCACTCTGTTTTACAAGGTACAAAAAATGTAAAAATGAAAATGAGATAAAGTCTAAGTAAAACTTTCTTTGTTGTTCGAGGAATTTTTTCATAAAATTCGCACAAAGTATAAAAATTTTTACTGTTTAAAATTCGACATGAGTACTCATACAATAACAGAAGATTTAAATTTTGTATCGTAAACGAAATCGATTCGTCTAAACGAAGCCTAATTGAAACACGACGATCAGAAGCACACATCTAGAAATTTGCTGATTAACGCGAGTTTAAAGTTAGTAACCGCTAAAAGTTTAGTGTGATTCGACGAGAGAAATCATGTACAAAATCTCGTTGATTGCAAATATAATCTAAACCGTCAAATACGATTTTGCAGCTCTTTCTTTACATTTCAAATGTTTTAAGAACTTTGTAATAATCAGAGAAAAATTTTATACATTTACAAAATATGAAGTAGTATTTTTCTAATTCGAAATATATATTAGAATTTAAAAGACAGAA